GAAGTATTATGCAATAACCATGCAATCTCTGCTGTTGGATTGTTAAAAGGAAAAGATGCATTTCTGATTTTTGAGAAACAAATTGTTATTGTTATTCTACAAAAAACCCATCAATTCTTCTGAGTTCTTGAAATAACTGAATTTGCATTTTCAGAAACCCAAAGACATGTTTTTGAATTATCTAAACCATATATGCTCCCCTCCATTAATTTATCAAAATTACATTCACCTTACATTCTACCTACAAATGTCCTGCAGTTGAGCAGCCTTTCGTTACCTGCAGAACTTCTTTAACTCTGATTATCAACTGGATAATTTATTTATGACCACTTTCGTATGGTAGGCTTTGCCTTCTCGTTACATTGTTTGGACAAACTACGAAGCTGATGTGATACAAGTGTAATAGGAAATCCTGCTTCATAATTTCCTATGAAACTTGAAAATCTAATGCCATTTCCCACAGTTAGCTGTAGGTGGCGCAAAATCTTTTTGGTCAGAGGGGCGTGAGTTTTTCCCTTATCAAATGAGGGGAATGTTTTATTTGACAAACATCAAATGATCTTAAAATATTCCCTTCCAGTTACCATTGGTCTGATTAACACTACGTTCTTTAGCCTTGGACAGTGGTTAGTTTCTTGGAGGAGAGCAATTCCTGAAGATCTGGAGAGACCTATCACTTTCATAACTCTCCTGACATATCCTGAGAAATTTGCTGACAATCCTGAGATCATTCTGAGTGTTTCCCAGAGATGTAAAATAGGGTTCTTTCCTGAAACTTATGTCTGAGGTTCAGATGCCCCAAACTGATAGAGTTTCTGTTCAAGGGGCCAACCATTTAGGGAAATATTTCAGACATTTCGGTTTGTGAAATAAAAACCCATCTTTGATTTTTTTACAGATTTTTTGGAATGAGCCCTTTAAACAGGTACATTGAACTGTGTTTATGAAAACATAGCAACCTATATTATCACTTAATCACTTGAAAAAGAGAGTTTGTTTTTGTTGTGGCTGTCTAATTGACATCTGGTTAAAAAGTAAAATAAGGAAAAAATAATTATAGTAGAGGCTTTTACTCTAACCCAACCTGTCTCCTAGGCTTGTCCTGGACTGCACGAGTTCACACACACATACACACCACACACCACATATCCGCACCGATCAGATGGTCCTTGCAGCGAAGTCAGTATGCTCCTGGGATCAAGAACTGAAGGCATTCGGTGAAAATAATAGGCATAGCATTTGTGTCATTTCTCTGCGGGGGGTGGGGAGGGGGTGGGGAAAACTATCATAAATTTCTCTCTTAGTGCACAGCTCTTTCTTAGCAAAATAGAAAGTAGGCATATCTGTGACAAGCAAAGATGTATTCTACAGTTTTGTTTGGCAAAGGAGAATGATGGGCCATTTTATACCAAATTAGGATCTCTTAAATGTCTTGGCCTTGGGTGGAAAAATAAAATTGAACATTTGAGTTAAAAAAAAAAAAAGGTATGTTAGCTGCTTCTGTATAATAAGGAAGTAGTTAGTGTGTAATGGGGCACCCAAGGACCCCGAACTTAAGGGGTGCACGAACTACAGGGATTTTGCCATCCACCACATAAAGACAAAGGAGGCAGATTTTTAGTGTGAATAATCTTTAACAGAATTAATGTACATGGAGAAGGAAATGAAGAAAGGATATCCCCAAAATAGTTTGCCAATAAAAATCCCTAAGTTGTGCATGCCCTTGGGCAAATGCCCAGCAAAATGGGGTCAGCCCAAAATGGGACCACTGAGGCCCAGAAGCTTGGCAACGTCTAAGACACCTTCTGATGGGGAACTGTGGGAAAAGCGCTTGAAGCAGGTCCCAAAGAACTGGGGCAGAAGGTGATGCCATAGCAGGGAAATGGCTGCCATTTTCAGCCTCTCCAGATGTTTCTCACACATGTGTCTCTTTCACGTCCCCTACATGTCTCTCCTCCATGCGTGTCGTCCAAGTCCCCTTCCCAGAAATGGTTCATTGCTTTGTGCTGCTCTGCCTTTCAGGGAGATGCATTCTATAGCAGTTGTTTACTCAATGTTAAAAATCACTATTTCTAGGCCCTCCCTGGTGGCACAGTGGTTAAAGCACAGCACTATGACACTGTCTGTGTCTGCAGCCACTGCAGCATGAGTTCGATCCCCAGCCAGGGAGCTGACCCACATGGCACAGCAGACCTCTCCTGACCTGCCTGCTGCTCCCCTCAGCAGTGTGCTTTGTTGATCTGCCTGTTCTGCTCCCCACTCTGTCTCTGGTAAATCTTCTTCCCCCCAACCCCACCCCATACCTCTGGCCAGTTCTTGTATGCATAAATAAATAAATCTTAATAAATAAATAAAAGCCACTATTTCCCACCAAAAGCCACAGTAAGATTTAAAAAATAAAGTCAGATCTATCACAACTGGCAAAAAAGTAGCAAAGCACATGGCTTCTCAGACTGTGTTGTCCTCTCGGAAGGTGTACTGTGTTCCCCCAACCAGAGTGACTTCACCACAGAACCAGGTCTTTGCATTATCTGCAGGCCCAACCAGCAGTGAGTCCAACATCACTGGATACTAACTATAGGACGCTTTCTACCATGATGAATTAAAACCAGGACAAGTAATAGAAAGCACTATTTCAGAAAACAGAAATGAAGTTAAAGTTCTTATAGCAGGTCCCCAAGCACCTACATAATCCCAAACACCATTATCATATAAAAAATGTTAATAATAGTTCATTAATATCACAAATATCTACTCACTATTACATCCTATTTTTGTTTAATTTCATAACTTGTTTGAATCAATATCAAGTTAGATATATATATCGCATTGGCTGACATGTCTCTAGCCGCTCATTAAAACGTGGATAAATCTAAGTTCCTATTTTTCCATATTTGCATTGGAAAAAATTCAGATGGGCAGAAAAGTTGTGAAAGAAGAAGAAAAAGAAGCAGGAGGTGGTGACATTGATGGCAATGGAAGAGCAGGAAGAGGGGGAGGAAAAAGCATAGTTCAGTGAGAAGAGAAAGCCTTCTGCTAGTCTTCAACTGGGAGACTTGCCAGGAAGCGTATGCTTTTGCCTAATTTTGCACTGCTCAAGTATTCACCAGAGGCAGCCCCTAGAATAGGTAACCTCAGCTGCAACTGAGGTGACCCTAAGAAAGCTAAGAGCACTGAGCCAACAGCTACGTACAGAAATGAGAAGAATTCTTTTTTAATTTTTTCTGGAAGGGAAATCAGATCAAACACTACCGTGTCTCTCATAGTCCACTATTTGTAACTTTCTCTCTCCAGCTTTGGGGAACATGTCCAGGGTTTGGTTGGGTATGTCATCCCCATGGGAAACAGAAGAAGGTTAATAGGACAAACAACAGCCCTTGTTGCTGCAGCTGAAAACAGGAAACTGGCATCTATCACTTCCTCCTTTGCTATCCTGATTTCCCTGTGCTGATTTTTGTAGTTTGGTGAAGAGCCCCCAAATCTTCATTGGTGAGTTTGAGTCACCACAGCCTTATCACATTACTCCTGAGAAGGCGTCAGTATAAAATATGAAGAAAAGAGAACTATTTCTAGAAAAAGACATCCTGTTACTTGGAAAGAAATGGCTTGATTTAATGGAAGTCATGAGTTAGGAAAAACAGAAGTCTCACCAGTTGACTTTGATGTCATGTGAGAGGGCACAGAGGGAAACTCTTTAAGAGTCTGAATTACACAAAACCATGTAAGGAACAATTATTAAACTACTCTCCTGGAAGGCCAAGTGTGAGGACTCCTAATATTAATGTGAAGCCCCTAACAATGACATGACTTTTAGGGGAGGGGGCCCAGGAAAGAAGGGACAGATTGGTAAAGTTCCAGGCACTGTTGGAAGGATACATCCTGTCTGAAGGAGCTGTTTCTACCCTGTTCTACTTCCCTCCTTCACCGCCCTCCTCCCCCAGCCCATCCAATAGGATTTTGCGACTCAATGTGTCTAAAAATCATCAGCAAAGAGCATTACCTGGGAGCGCATTGTGTTAGAAATGGTGAAATGGCTCAGCCTACTCCAGAGGTAGTGGAGCAGAAACCTTGTTCCCACAAGCTTCTAGGTGACTTGTGTCCTCAGTGACTTTTGAGGATGGCAATAGAATTCTAACTTGTTCTGTAAAGCTACGAGATTATGAGTACAAACAAAACCATGGCATGAAACATCTTGGCTCTCTTTTTAAACAGAAGTGACCATTGCTCCAGTTTTCTCCTTAGCTAACATTCATTCATTCAGCAAATATTTGTCAGGAAGATAGGCAGGCAGAAGTAATCACCATCACCGGGTTTATGGAATACCCACGAGATTATTGTGCCTGTTTTCGATGACAAGGAAATTGAGGACAATGAAGAAGAGCTACCTACTGGGGTGGCACTGTGCAGGGGAGGAACTGGGAGGCGAATACACCCCTCGCTGAATGTAGAACTCAAGCTCGCTCCCACTTGCCGCCCATAGGGAGAGTGAACATTCATTTTCTCTTTGCCACAGGAATGTTGCCCAACCTTGGACTTCTGGTTGAGTAGCAGAGTTCCCCAGCCTGCCCCTCTGTGTCGTGGTAACAGTAAAGTTTGGGGGTCAGAGGTAAACAGTAACCAAATTCCCGAGCTAAAATGTTCCGGGCGATTGCACCGAGTCGCGGAGGCAGACGAGTCCACTAGCAACACCCAGGTCACGTAGACCTGCCCTTTCATCTTCGCCTTGTCTTGGTCCTCCCAGCAGGGGCATTAGAGACGAGAAGACAACCTAGACAATACTTCCCACAACCAAAATGACGGCCGGCACGTCTTGCCCACACTGGGCGTCGGCCGCTCTGCGGATCCATAGCAACGCGGCTAGCTCCGCCCGCGCCAGCCTCGGTCCAGCGAGTATGAAGCTATGAGCTTTTCCCGCCCCCTCATTTTTGCGACAGTTGCAGCGAAAGTCACGGCAGTTGAGGCTGGTGTCAGCTGATTTACTGCAGCGGCGGCGGCGGCGGTGGCGGTGGCAGTGGCTCCTTGCAGCCCCTGTGGGGAGAGGGCGTCTGGACTGGGCTGCGTCCCGGGTTCCCCACCCGGACTTGCCCACCCCTCCTTCCCCCCAGATACGTCCTCGCCTTGTCCTCTTTGGCCCGGACGCCCACAGTGGTCCGATCGACTCGATCGCGGCAGGAGATGAAGCTGTGACAGGTAAGGGGGCTTTCGAGCCTCGCGGGAGGAGCCCAGCGTGCGACTCGCTTGCTGCAAGGTGCATGTCCGAGCGGGAGGGCGAGGGTCGGAGCGCGCCCCAGCCCCAGGCGGTCCGGGCTGGCCGAGCGCTGCTGCTGGAAACTGTGCTCCGTGTGGCCGCGTCCCCAGTTCAGGCCCACAGCTGGGCGCTCTGGCCAGGACCTTTGGGGTTCTCTGGCCTGGTGAGTGACATTTGCTTCTGGTGAACGCTGGCTCTGGACCTGACATGGGACTGGTTTTCCCTTAGTGTCCTCTAATCGGGGCGAAGTGGTGAATGATGATGGGTGGGTGGTTGAGTGCTTTTGGGTAACATACCTGTCTTGGGGGTTCACACGGTCCCTCCTCACCTGTTGGCACGTCTGTGCGAGTTTCATTTTTGAGATGCCACTTGGCAGTTCTCATTCTTTTGCCTTAGAACTTGGCCTAAGAGGAGACCTGCTGCCCTTCGCCCCTTACTAAAGGGTTCTGAAGCTGTCTAGTTGCAGACTGCACTATTCTGCGTCTTGTATTTTGATTGCTGCCCTGTGTCAGATCTTCAGGCAGAATTTGTTGTTCCTTACATCGGAGGCCGATGAATTTGTTGCATCACAGGCCGCAATGGGGGTGTTGATACTGCTGGGTTTAGGATTCAGTGGGAGCTAAGCCTTCTTTCACTGGAACATTTTCCATGATCCAGAAAAGGCAAGCTATGATTTTTCATTGTTTACAGGCTTAGGACTTTAGGAACATAATGTTAGGAAGGAGCTGTTGTGTAAGAGTTTTGGAAATTTTGTTCACACACAATTTGTGTGTTATTAGCAATTAGTGACAATAGGGAGGTGGAGAACTGCTTAAAAATGAAGTGTGTTGAAATGCCTTTGTCCTGATGAAGACAAGAAAGTGCCTTTATGTCTTCCAAAATAACAGCTTCGTTATTTCCAACCAGGAAAATGGTAATACTTATTTACAATGTTCAGAAGTGAAATTATTTAAATGTCTATCTAAAAAAAACGCCACCCCAGAGCCTACTTAATGGCAAAACTGGAGTATACACTTTGTTTTTTCCTCTTTGCCACCTGTAGTTAAAATTTGAAAAATCTGGGCCCTCTCTGGTGGCGCAGAGGGCTGGAGCACTGCACTGCGAAGCTACGCCAAGCCGTGGTGACTTCAGTGCGATCCCCGCCCTGGTGGTGACCCACACGGTGCAGCAGACCTCTCCTGTCTCGCGTGCTGCTCCCCTCAGCAGTGTACTTTGTCTATCTGCCTATCCTGCTCCCCACTCCTTCTCTGGTGGGTCTTCTCGCCGCCCCTGTACCTTTGTATGCATAAACAAATAAAGAATTTTTTTAAAATGTAAAAGATCTTAGGACGGGGGTTTGCCTTGATAAGTATCTCTGTGGGAACATAAATGTTGAGGAAGTGAGCCTTGTTCCTTATGATTTCCTTTTATTTCACTTGGGAAATAGTGGTTTATCTCTGTGACAGGCACTTTGAGCTCTGTTGAGCTCTGCTGAGCACTTTGAAAAGTGATGAGCTCGTTTTGTGCCCAGGACATGAGAAGGGGAAGATGACATTGAGCTGTAATGATACACGCTGTGTTAGTTGTGGATAAAGTTAAGGTGTGAATCCTTAAACATTTGAACCTCAGTTGCTGAAGATTGAGTTTGTCCTCTCAACTCAGTGGTCATCTTTGGGCTTTTCAAGGTGTGACTCCTGTTTGTTCGTTTGTTCTCCATACATGGCCTCTAATTTCTGAGTTCCGTTCCACCCCCTTGCCCATTAACCCACAGACAATTGCTCTAACCTAAGTGATGTGTGTGCTCAGGAATATCCTGCTGTATACCCCATTACCTTTTCCTTCTCCTTGTTGTGTTGAAGCATTTATTTGTGTTTTTCTTTGCTTTTACCAGTTATATATTATTTCAATATATCATCTGCAGTTTATCTTCTACTCTTCTACTGTAGATTCTGTAGACAATACTTTGACGTACAGATCCTTGAGACTTCTGTGGTGCATGTTTGAAATACCTACCCAGAAGCATGATATCTGGATCCGAGGGTATCCATCCGTTTGATTGAAAGACATCAAACCATGTTTTAGAATAGGCAGCAGTGACCCAGGCTCCTGCAGGCAGCTGACAGCAGTTCTGTGTCCTCTTTCTCTGCAACACCTAAATTTTTTTTTTATTTTTATTTTTTAAAGATTTATTTGTGCATACAGAACTGGGGTACAGGCCAGAGGCTCAGGGGCGGTGAGAGGCTTCACCAGAGACAGAGTGGGGAACAGAACAGGCAGATGGACGAAGTACACTGCTGAGGGGAGCAGCGGGTGGGTCAGGAGAGGTCTGCCACGCCATGTGGTCACCTCCGGGGCAGGCGGCAGGCGGGAATCGAACTCATGCTGAAGCGGCTCTAGATTCTCAGTGCTGTGCTTTAACCCGCTGCGCCACCAGGGAGGGCCCTGCAACACCTAATTTTATCCAGCCTCTGATTTTTGTAGGCAAATAGATACAAAGCAAAATCTCACTTTAAATGGCATTCACCATTACTAATGACTTTCAGCATTTCTCCGCATCCATTTTTATCTTGTCACATTTTCCCTGTGGTCAGATTGCCTGGTTGTCCCTTTACCCATTTTTATTTTGAGGTCTTCTGCATTTCTCTTGTGTTGCAGAAGTTGTTTATATGTTTTAGACACTGGACCTGCAGTCTGCTCCTGTTCTGTCATTTGTCTGTAACTTTTTTTCCATGATGTCCTTCATTGATCAAAATCTTTAATTGTGATAAAATCAAATGAAGAAGTTTTGCCGAACGGTTTGTGTTTTGAGGTTTTGGTCAAGAAGTCTTTCCCCAACTCCGTCACAAAGTTACACTCCTATTTTATATACTGTTAACTTCATAGTTTTCCTTTATACTTACAGGTCTTTATTACATTCAGAACCTGTCTTTTTTTTTCCTTTTTCCTTTTTTTTTTTATTCATACAGAACTGGGGTACAGGCCAGAGATGCGGAGGGTGAGAGGATTCACCAGAGACAGAGCAGGGAACAGAACAGGCAGATTGCTGAGGGGAGCAACTGGCCGGTCAGGAGAGGTCTGCCGCACCATGTGGATCTCCTCCGGGGCAGGCGGGAATCGAACTCACGCGGAAATGGCTTAAGCTTCTTAGTGCTGTGCTTTAACCCGCTGCGCCACCAGGGAGGGCCTTTTTTTTTTTTTCCTTTTTAAAGATTTATTTACTTATGCATGCAGAACTGGGGTACAGGCCAGAGGTGCAGGGGTGGTGAGAGGCTTCACCAGAGACAGAGTGGGGAGCAAAACAGGTTGACTGATAAGGTATACTGCTGAGGGAGCAGTGGGCGGGCCAGGAATGGGTCAGCGCCATGTGGGCCAGCTCCGGGGCAGAGATCAAACTTATGCAGAAATGGCTTTAGCTTCTTAGTGCTGCATTTACCTGCTGCATCACTCAGAGCCTGCCTTTTTAGATGCCATATGGTAGAGGCCCTGTGCACAGTCTATGCAGTCTGCCGGTTTTCCTGAGTCGTTCTCTCCTTTCCATAGATATGTGATGCCACACTTACAGATATTCTCATGTAGACTCAGGCCACTGTATCTGTTCCTCTGGTATCGCTGTTGCTCTTGCTCTGATACCATGCTACTTAAATACTATGGCACTCTAAGTATTTTCCCCTTTGTGAATCATTCTTCATATGTATTTTGTCTTAGCTCTATTTTAAAATAATTATAGATTCGCAGGGAGTTGCAAAAATAGTACTGGGAAGTTTGGCTTACCCCAATGCTTATATTTTATGTAACTTTACTCAATTTCTCTCCATGGTTATATTTTATTGACTAGAGTACAAGAGCAAAACCAAGGAATTGGCATTGATACCTTGCCTGCCTATGGTTCCAGTACATTCTGTTATCTGGTACCAGCAACCACTTCTGTACTCAGGATACAGACCTGTACTCCCCCCTCGGAGATCCCTTCAGGCTACCCCCTGCCAACCCCACCCACCATCCCTCTTCTCTGGTAATCAGAAATCAGTGTGCATCACTGTAATTTCATTATTACAAGAGTGCAATGTAAATGGAATTATTTAGCATGTGACTTTTTGAAAATGAGATTCATCCAAATTGTTGGATGAGAAAATTGTTTTGAGATTCATCCAAATTATTACATAATTCAGTAGAACCCCATGGTATGTGTGTGCAGTTTGTGTAACATATGAACCATTTTAAAAAATTCACCTGCTTTTAGGGGCTCTTTCTGTTTTTGGGGGGGGGGGAGAACTACAAATAAAGTTGCTATTCTTGTATGTTGTTTTGTAGATAGAAATTGTCACTTTTTCTGGGATCAATGAATAATTAGGCATATAACTAGTAAGTGTATATTTAGTTCTTTTCTTTTAAGATTTATTTATTTGTGCATACAGGAATTGGGGTACAGGCCAGAGGTGAGGGGAGAGAGGATTCACCAGAGACAGAGTGAGCAGAACAGGTGGATCTACTGAAACACATTGCTGAAGGGGAGCAGCGGGCGGGTCAGGAGAGGTCTGTTGTGCCATGTGGATCAGCTCCAGGGCGGGGATCAAACTCATGCTGCAGTGACTGTGGTAGCTTCATAGTGCTGTGCATTAACTTTTTGTGCCACCAGGGAGGTCCCCCAGTGGCAATCTTAATGGGCAAGAGCTGCTTTTTGCCAGAGCACAGGGTAACCTTATATATTGTTCTTTGATCAGGTATATTCCTTTGTGGATTTTTTTTTTCACGTTGTGGAATTTATTGCTTTAGGATCCAGTTAGATCGGTTTCCTCTGGACTGATAATCCTGACTCCTTCTCTGGTTTTCTGCCCCCCGGTCCTGTGGAAATTCCACCCTAAATGTTCTACTCCAGTAGAGCAAGTTCTCCATTCTTGGTATAGTTTTAAATTTGGCCTAGCTGTTTGTGGATGTGTATTCTTATCTATGTATTTTAGAATTA